AATAAAAAAAAAAAAAAAAAAAGAAATTGAAAGCTTCCGAAAACAAATTTTCAGGTCTGAGACGTAATGGATGTATGTTCGTTATTATTGAATGAAAAACATATCCCACGGATAGTTGAAATTTCACTTGCTGTGTGCCAGGCCTGCTTATGGATACGATTAATGGTAATAAATGTTTGAAGTTGTTTCATAGTGACTTATGGAGACCCTTCTCATTTTCATACTCCCTAAACAGGTAGTTTTTGAGCTCCTCCATTCATTCAGATGTTCATTCATTTAACCACGTAATAGGAAAGATATTTATTGGGAAGCAGTGAGTGTTAGCTAGGCAGTGGATAGTCAAAGAAGGAAAGAGGAGGTTCCTGTCATTTAGGAGTTGTGTAACTAAAAAGTGACAGTAGAAGTGGGAATGAAGTGCAGTAGCAGCAGCAAGGGAGGAATGACCTTGGGATGTACAAAGGACAGTTAAGAATTGGGTACTTGAACTTGTCTGGCTGCTGGTTAACTGGAGATTTTACCATTTTATTTTCATTGGAGTGTTGCTATAAAACTCAGTAAAGAAAACAGTAACATTTACAAAACAACTTTGTAACATATTCAACTTGCTGTTTCAGGAACTGTCTTGTTTTGTTACGAGATGCTACGAAGTAGTGATGAATGTAGTCCATCAGTTGGCGGCCCTCTATATCAGTAACAAGTATGGATTTTTGAAATATTTTTGCTTTTATAATAGAGATACAGGAAATGTTTTTCTAAAATTAACTACCTGAAGTCATTTTTCATTTTCTCACTCACTCATTTATTCATTCAGTGTCCTTTGAAAACTGAAGAAGTTTCAAATACTATTTGATAATATATCATACATAGGACACAGTTTTTCCCATGGTGAATGAACTCATTATCTGTCTGAATAATGATGTTGACAGTAATCTTAAATCTGACTGCATAGAAAGAAGGCTAATGTAGAATTAGTACATGCACTATGGGCTCTCCTTTTCCTTTCTGTGTTAATGTTTCTCTGATTAGTCACATGAGACTTAGGAGACTTTTATTTTATTTTATTTTTGAAGGGGTTTTTGCTATAGGGCGCGTGCACTCTCCAGAAAGAGAGAGAGAGACAGAGAGACAGAAAGCGAGAATTCACCCTCCGGGGGGATGGCCATGCCACAGTCCCTTCTCCTCCTTTCTCCTCTCAGGATCTTGGGCATGCACGCACACGCGCCTTGCGTGAGTTTTAGCCACTGGGTCTGGGACTCGAACCGTGGTTGACTATATGAGAATCCAGCGCCATAGCCATTACACTAACTGCTGGTCCCAGGAGACTTTTATTAAAATACACACTCTTGGAAATGAATTGGATCTACCTTAAAGAAATTTCCTGAGCAATTCTAATGATCCTTTAAGTTTAGGGAAACTGACACTAAATCAAGAAAAATTGATCAGATTTTTATAGAGCTCTTGCTACTAATACTACCTCATGTTTGACTGATTCTTTATACTTAAAATTTTTCCACATTTACTGCTGAAACCTTCCAGTACCTTTGTTTGGATATATGACTGGGGGTTCTTACTATGGGAAGAAACATCTGGGGCCCAGAAGAGTTACTTGCCAAGATTCCTTAGCAGTTTAGGTGCTTTTCTGTGGTCACTAGTCCATTTGTCGTTCTTCGTACTCTAGCATGCTGCATCTTAATTCTTTTTATAATCTGGAAGACTACATTAACTGTCTCTCATTCTCCTGTTTTTCCCCCTCACTTAGATATTTATTTTATGTTGTCTTTTCACTGTGCTCTCCTCATGGCAGAAGAGAATGAGAGCATAGCTTCCTCATACTCCACAGACCCTGGTGTGTAGTTCTAAGAAGACTCCTCCTCACTCCACCCCTGCCCCAGAGGATGAAATTTATTTCAATTTTATGTATAATTTTGAAATATTTACTCTATCTTGTAGAATATCCTTATATACTTTGATATACAAATAGTATCCTAAATTATTTATTATTGAGTAAATTGATTAAGAAGTAAAATTCAATTTTTCTAATTTTCCTAGCATGAATTGTTTTTCAGTAGAGCGAGAACTCAGAAATAGATCTGACTGAACAGAGAACCAGTTCTCAATGTCATTTTGTATAGGATATCAAAGATTCTAGTGGTAATTGATAAATTCTAATACTTTAGGATGACATGGATATTAGTCTTATTATTCCCCTATCTCCACCCCGAGATAGATTTTTTTTTGGGTTAAATGGCTTAGAAATTCACGGCAATTCATATTGTCACGAGCGGAATAAATGCAAGGATAGCCCAGACTCTGGATACTTAGGTGAGCTCCTTTCCTGGGTGTGTAGAATACAGTAGTAATGCCTTGGAGCTTTTAAATTGTAGTGGCTAAAGCCTTATTAAAGATACATATTAAAATTCCAAGAACTTCTCCCATGTATATTCTTGAAATAAGAATGAACTCTGACAATAGAAATTCCTGTTTAACTTTAATATTATTTTATTACAGGGTTGCACCCAAAATTATAGAGACAACTGGAGTTCATTTTCAGGTAAAAGTAACTTAACTTGACCTGTAAAGCTGTTATTTTTACTTCGTTTTGGAGTTTGTATGTGTGGGGAGTATAGTTATAGCAAGTCTCTCGATGCTTTTTTTTTTTTTTTTTTGGAGAGGTTTTTGCTAAAGGGCATGTGCGCTTCCCAGAAAGACAGAAAGTGAGAAATCCTCCCCCGGGGGGATTGCCATGCCCCAGTCTCTTCTCCTCCATTCTCCTCTCAGGATCACATGCACCTGGCGTGAGTTTAAGCCACCAGGTCTGGAACTTGAACTGTGGTCGACTGCATGGGAGTCCAGCGGCATAGCCATTACACCCACTGTTTGCTCTGTGTGTTTTTTTTTTTTTTTTTTTTTTTTTTTTGCACTTGCTCTCTTACCTGTGAAGTTGATCATTTGTTACTGACCCGCTATCAGAGTAAGTCTTAGTTTTTCCCCGATGCAGATTCTCCAGATGGTCTCCCAGACAGTAAAACAAATCTGCAGTATCACACTTAAGGATGAAATGTGATAGGGCAAAGAGTTCTCTATGTTGTTTTTTTTTTAGGAATTATTATTTATTTAATTATTAATTATTATTATTCACATGAGTTATGCCAGAGAAAGAGAGAGTAAGAGAGGAAGAGTTAGAAAGCAAGCTGCCAGGTCCAGGACTTGAACCGTGGTTGGCCATGTGGGAATTCTAGTACCTTTACCTTGCCACCTGCTGATCTCAAAGAGTTCTCTATTTAAGGATAATAGTCCCATCTGAGGAAGAGTAGCTTAATAAATTGATAGGCCAGCTGTTTAATAATTCATTAATTAGCCCCAATGTGTTTTTCTTTAAAAGTCCACGTGAGGCTTAACTTCTAACTAGTGACTAAATGATAATCATTTAAGGTTTTTTGACAGACTATGTATGAACACTTGGGAGAACTGCTAACGGTTTTGCTTACCCTGGATGAAATTATTGATAACCATATCACACTGAAAGACCACTGGACTATGTACAAAAGGTACATTCACAAAAATACTTTTTGAGTATTTACTCACTTCAGATGGTTAAAATACTAGTATTAGTAAAAAGTAGACATATAAATAATGTAGATCCTTTAAAAAACCTAGAGATCTATATTTAGAAGGAGCTCATGTCAACTGCTTTTGTGAAGACAGTAATCATTCTTTAATTTTGGATGGGTTTGAGGGTATGATATATAAAGCATCCTTATTTAAAAATATTTTTAAAGAATTATTTATTATTACTATTATTATTTAACTTGCTATAGTCATTGGAGAGAGACAGAGGGAGAGAAAGAGGGAGAAACTGAGAAAGCAAACCACCAGGTCTGGGACTTGAACTGTGGTTGGCCACGTGGGCATCTGGCATCTCAACCACCACACCACTCAGTGACCCCAAAGCATCCTAATTCTTAAAGATTAATAGAGTGTTTATTTGTCTACCTTAGGACTTAGATTTATTTTTTTCTCTTGAGCTTGGTTTTATCTTATAATATACTCCAAACTTTTAGATCAAGGTATTTTGTTATATTCAACTTAAAAGTATTTGTTAAAAGTCTCATAGGTACAGGGCACCAGGTATCTGAATTTGAGATGATATGGAAAAAAAAAGCATAAGACAAATACATTATATATATGACAAATATTTATGTATTATATATACATTAATATATATTATTTAAACTTTCAGATGTATAGAGCAAAATAAGAATTGTAAATATAAAGTTTTGATATCTTGGAAAAAATTTTTTTTTGAGAGGTTTCTGCTACAGGGCGCGTATGCTCGCCAGACAGACAGAGAGAGACAGAGAGACAGAAAGCGAGAAATCACCCCCCATGGGGGATGGCCACACCGCAATCCCTTCTCCATTCTCCTCTTGGGATCCTGGGCGCGCACGCACACACGCCCGGTGTGAGTTTAAGCCACTGGGTCCAGGACTCGAACTGTGATCGACTACATGGGAGTCCAGCAACATAGCCATTACGCTAACTGCTGGTCCCAATGGAACATTTTTAATTTAAGACTCCATTAAGTAGATTTAAGATCTTTCTTCAAATCTTCCATAAGGTTACTGAAATCTGTCCATCACAATCCTTCAAAATTTGGAATTCAAGAAGAAAAACTAAAGCCATTTGAAAAGTTCTTACTGAAGCTGGAAGGACAGTTACTTGATGGAACAGTATTCCAAGTAAGTAGAGCTACATCAGGCCATAATGAATGGATTTGGATTAGTTGATCCAGCTCAAATTATAACACTTTTTTTTTTTTTAAAAAAGAGAGATATTTTTGCTATAGGGTGTGTGCACTAGCCAGAGAGACAGGGAGAGACAGAAAGTGAGAAATCACCTTCCTGGGGGTGGCCATGCAACAGTCCCTCTCCTCTATTCTCCTTGGGATTTTGGGCATGCACACACATGTGCCTGGCATGAGTTTCAAGCCCCCTGTATAAAAATATATATATATATATATATATATATATATATATATGTATTTAAAAATACATATATATATATATGTATTTAAAGGTACTGTGATTAAAATCATTGGTAGTCTAGTAAAAATATAATTATTTCACTATTAATAGTAGCAAACAGGGTTAATTGTGTATTAGTTTTATGTGGTATGAAGATTTTGTTTTGGCTACAGAACACGTGTGCTCACCAGGGAGAGACAGAGAAAGCGAGAAATCACTCCCCTAGGAAGGATGATCACACCACAGTTCCTTCTCCATTCTCCTTTTGGGATTTGGGCATGCTTGCACGCATGCCTGATATGATTTTCAAGTCTCTGGGTCCAGAACTTGAACTGTGTAGTTGGTCATGTGGGATCCAATGCCTTAACCTCCACATTACCTGCTGACCCAGTTTGAGGGCTTTTTTTTTTTTTTTTTCTTTTTTTTTTAAATGTAAGATAAAACTGGGACCAGCAGTTGGCGTAATGACTGTCTCTGGACTCCCATGTAGTTGACTGCGGTTTGAGTCCCAGACCTGGTGGCTTAAACTCACGCTGGGCGCATGCGTGCCCAAGATCCAGAGAGGAGAATGGAGGAGAAAGGATTGTGGCGTGGCCATCCCCCCAGGGGGTGATTTCTCGCTTTCTGTCTCTCTGTCTCTGTCTTTCTGGTGAGCGCATGCGCACCATAGCAAGAAGCTCTCAAAAAAAAAAAAAAGAAAAGAAAAAAGAAAAACTAAGGATTAAGGGGATCAGCATATAGTGTAGTGGTTATGTCACTGATTCTTTTTTTCAGAAGACATTTCCACACATGTACTAGGAAAATAATTACAAACAGAAGAATACAAACTCTAGTTTTGAAAGTGCAAAGTGAAAACATGCTTTCCAGTGTTTTATCAAATAAATCTTTTATGTATTTCTGAATATTAGTGTATATTCTTTTCATACAGAAAAGAATTGTATTGGAGTACAAGCACATTTGGGGTTAAGCTTTATTACTTTTATGTAACTGGTACTCAAATATGTAAGCATATATACATTTTTCACTTAGAAGTATTAATATATACCAGAGCATCAGTTTTAGTAAAATCAAAATGAATATAGAAGTCTATCATATTCTGTATTTAAATATTTAATAGTTTTTCACCAAGAGTCTAAGTTTTTCTTAAATGTTTCCTGTCTAGGCCTGCATAGAACAACAGTTTGATTCTCTCAATGGAGGAGTGTCTGTGTCAAAAAATAGCACTTTTGCTGAAGAATTTGCACATAGTATTCGCTCAATTTTTGCAAATGTAGAAGCCAAACTTGGTAAATTACATTTTTTGGGTTTTGCCTTTAAAGTTTGTATTTTCTTAAAATCATGATTTCATTATATTCTGCTTTTCTCTTATGTTATTGTTTTATAAGGAGAACCTTCTGAAATTGACCAGAGAGAAAAATATGTTGGAATTTGTGGACTCTTTGTACTGCACTTTCAAATTTTTCGAACTGTAGATAAAAAGTTTTATAAGTCTTTATTGGACATTTGTAAGAAGGTAAGAACTTGAAACTTTTTTTTTCAGTTTGAGTAGATTAAAGATTCTGAATAAAACTAGATATTTGAAATTTCTTTTAATTGTGATTATAAAAATAGTGATGTAATAGTATTCTTTTTTTTTTTTTGGAGTTTTTTTTTATAGGGCATGTGTGCTTGCCAGAAAGACAGAGACAGAAAGCTAGAAATCACCCCCCCAGTGGGGGATGGCCACGCCACAATCCCTTCTCCTGTCGGGATCTTGGGCACGCATACACATGCACCCGGTTTGAGTTTAAGCCACCAGGTCCGGGACTTGAACCCATGATTGGCTACATGGGAGTCCAACGACATAGCCATTACGCCAACTGTTGGTCCCCAAAATATTCATTTTTAAAATTCAAGCATTCCAGAAATAAGTAACATAGTAGATGAATGTACTCTGTAATTCCACTTCATATGAATACATGTGGATGTTTTTCACATGTTTTCTGTACATAACTTTCCGTTCCTGTTGTTAATGCTTATTTTTTCCTCTTCTGTTTTTCTTCTCCTCTTTTTTATTTTATTTATTTATTTTTTTGTGTGGCTATAGGATGCGTGTGCTTGCCAGACAGACAGAGACAGACAGAAAGTGAGAAATCCTCTATCCCCTCCCAAGGGGAGATGGCCACACCGCAATCCCTTCTCCTCCATTCTCCTCTTGGGATCCTGGGCACACACGCACATGTGCCCGGCGTGAGTTTAAGCCACCAGGTCCGGGACTTGAACCGCAGTCGACTACATGGGAGTCCAGTGACATAGCCATTACGCTAACTGCTGGTTCCAGTCTCCTCTTTTTGTACTCATTATTGAAGTAGAAAAATGTGAAATAATTTTTTCCCACATTTTTGCTATTTCTGTAATGTGGCACCTGATTTCAGGATTAGAAATTTGTGTGTAGCATTAAATGATATGTGACCATGAACACCCAGCTGTCTTTGGTATTTAAAAAAAATATTTTTTATTAACATAGAGTGAATGTAGAGGACACGAGGATTCAAGTTTCTGTTTGCTTTTTGCATATTTTTATTTATCTGAAAACCCATGAGAGAGTGTTTTGTTTAACATTTAGGCAGAATAAAATTGTCGTGCTCAACACCAGATACTATAATGCCATAATTCTGTGCGATGGTCAGATACTTGTCTCATGTGTGTGTATGTGTGCATGTGTGTGAGTGGTTTTTGTTTTCTTTTTTCTTTTTTAAGAGAGGTTTTTGCTATAGGGTGCATGTGTTCACCAGAGAGACCGAGAAACAGAAAGCAAGAAATCATCCCCCAAGGGAGTGGCCATGCTGCAATCCCTTCTCCTCCAGTCTTCTCTTGGGATTTTGGGCACGCACGCACACATGCATATACACCTAGTGTGAGTTTTAAGCTGCTATGTCCGGGACTCAAACCGCTGTTGACTATGTGAGAATCCAGTGACGTAACCATTATGCCATCTGTTGGTCACTGTCTCATAATATATTAATGAGTACTTTTTTGTGTTTATTATTTCTTGAAATAAATTGTTTTTCATGTATATTGTAGAACTATTAAACAGTTTATTGGTTAGCCCACATTTAATGATTTTTATCCCCTTGCCTTTACTATTACAGGTACCAGCCATCACCCTAACTGCTAATATTATTTGGTTTCCTGATAATTTTCTGATTCATAAAATACCAGCAGCTGCCAAACTTCTAGACAGAAAAAGTCTTCAAGCCATTAAAGTACACAGGGACACTTTCCTACAACATAAAGCTCAGTCACTTACCAAGTAGGTTTAATAAGCACCATAATGAAAACATTTAGATATTTTGTGTTTTCAAGTGTTATACTGACTGTAAATATATGGAATGTATTTGACTTACACCATCATATGTAATAATATAATTTTTGCTTATTACCAAAGAAGGATTGGGTGATTTCCAGATTTATTTTCTAGGATTGTTTCTTTTCTGTTTTATTTTATTTTTTAAATGTTTTAGTCTTAAAGTTCATTTAAGATGTAAGCCAATTAGGGACCAGCAGATGGCATAGTTATGGTAAAGGTGCTGGACTCTCACAAGGCTGACCACAGTTTAAGTCCTAGACCTAGTGGCTTCTGTCTGACTTTCCTTTTCTATGTCTCTGTCTCTTTCTGATGAATTGAAATGAGTAGTAGTAATAACAATAAATAAATAATTCTAAACAAATGAACAAAAAAGATATATGCCAGTTATATCTTTTGGATATATACACAGTTATACACATATACGTTTTATCAGCTGTGTGAAATATATGTTGTCTAAGTGAAATTAATCTCTGATTTGGTTGCAGTAGTGTCATTCAGTAACATTAAAAGCATTGTGTGTCCATGAAGTTTTGGAGGAGTCAGCTTTACCTTGATGTGCTGCCCCCCCATATTTTTATGAAAGTAATGTATATGCATCATTAAAAAGTAAGAAAGTATCAAAGCTTAAAGGGAAAAAATTTCCCCAGCTCAATTCCTCCTTGTAACTCAGTCCTGCTCTCTTCAAGAAACACTTTTAAATCTGTTTCTTCTGATACTTACATTCTTTTGTTTATCTCTTATGTAAATTTTCAAACATAAGCAAAATAGAGGAAATAGTATAGAGTCCCTGTGTTCCCATCCCCCAGCTTCAACAGTTTTTTCCTGCACATTCTTACTTGAGTAAGCATGTATTTGAGTACACTGCTGAAATCACAAGTTAACCTGGATAAAGATTTTAAGTGAAGGAATGATGCAGGACTCTGCCCCTGGCCTTGTGCTCATTAGGGGCATGGTTAAAGGCATAATAGGGATGCTGTCCCTGCTGATTGCAACTCTCCAGGGAAAACTGGCTGCCACTACACACGGGGAGCAGGAGGAATGTGTCTAGGGTGGGGTGAGATCTAATGCATCTCTTAGTACCTCTGTGTCCTGCAACTACAGTCACTGGAAACTGACCAGTTCAGTCAGCTCTACTCATGGTGGAAATTTCAGAGCTCTGTAGTACATCCTAAAACAATGAGCAGGGATAAAGACTGAAGTTTGGATTTAGATTAAAGAGATAAATTCACTAATGTAAGATGGAGAGATAGAGATTAGGCTTAGTAGAATTAAGTGCAGTCATGTGCAGCATAATGGCATTTTGGTCAATAACAGACCACGTACATAACAGTAAACCTGTAGGATTCTGTTAGGCTGACCCATGTTGCTTAGGTTTCTAGTCACCTGTGTACCTGCTAAGCTGGTGTAAGTAAGCTCTGCAGTATTCATATGATGACAGGCTTCTGGATGATGCGTTTCTCAGAATGTACCCGTCGTTAAGATGTAACTATAAAAAGAAGATGTGGGCATTTTAGTTCTTAAAAGGTTATTCTTTTTTTTTTTTTTCAGAGAGGTATTTTTGCTATAGGGCATATATGCTGTGAGAGAGACGAGAGAGACAAAAAGTAAGAAATTACCCTCTAGCAGGTGGCTATGCTACAATCCCTTCTCCTCCATTTCCGTCTCTGGATTTTGGGCATGTTCACACATGTGCCCAGCATGAGTTTTAAGTCTCCTGGGACTGACTTTAAGTCGGTCTGACACTCAAACTGTGGTCGCTACAGTTTGCTGCTAGGGAGTACAGTGAATGTAGCCATTATGCCATCTGCTGGTCCCAGAAGTTTAATATTCTTTAACAGTGTGATAGAGTTGCCAAAATGCCAGTACATACTTGGATTACATTAATAACTTAGTGTCCAGGCTATGGAAACTAGTAGTTAGGATATTTAGGCCATGGGAATTCAGAGTTCCTTTGAATCTCATTGGTCAGATCTTAGGTGGCATTTCGTGGTGCCATATTAAACATTAAAAAGTCCACAAAGCATAGTATCTCAAGGTGAAGCTGATCAAGATGTTGGAGGGTCCAAGAAAAGAATGTCTTCTCTTTTCTTATGTCTTATGTAGAGTTTGGCTTTTAAAAGAAATTTATATAGTGGGTTTCTTTACATATCTGACGGGCATTCAGGTTGAAGAGGAAACAGATTTTTTATCTCTTTGGCTCCAGAAGACTAAACTAAAACTAAAAGATGAAAATGACAGATAGTAGTAATTATAATACTTGCCAACTTTATGGAGTTCTTAATTATGTATCAGGCATTATGGAAATTTTGTAACAACTATGTCTTCTCATGTGGGAAATAATAAAGGTGGCAACTGATGTTTCTTAACATTTACTATAAACCAGCAACCATTCCAGGACTTTCACATCATCTCCCTTAATTAACAGAAAATGCTATGAAGTCGATGCTATTGTTATTGCCATCACAGAGATTAAATTGCTCAAGTTACATAACTAGAAGTGGCAGAGCCAGGCAGTCCAACTCTAGAGCCAAGCTGTTAATTATTATACTAAATTACTATACTAAACTACCTAGTAGAAAAAAGAGAAAAATGGAGAATTTTTTCAGGTCATATAGCTGAGTATGTGCTGGAGAGGGACTGCAGCCGGAGCCAGTCTTGTCTGGAGCCTCTCAGTAGTAGGTTGTGTAGCTGCTCTGAGAGGACTACTTGCCGTCCCTCGAGTTGTGTAGGCAGGACATGAGTGGAGCCCACCCATCCATGATGCTGAAGGTAGTGTCTTACTAGGTAGAAGACTGGATAAATTGGCTTTTAAAGACCTCTCACATGATGAAATTTTGTTTCTAAAAATCTTTGATTCCAAAGGTACGCCTGTACAATCAATGTAGATCTCTGTGGAGCTGAAGGGGGTGGTTATCCTTTTCCCTCTTGCCATTCTGCCAAAGAAACTTAAAGTCCACCTCACTAAGAAACTAGGAGAGCAGAGATGTGACTTGTGCGAGCTTTGTCCTGATACTCTAAAGAAAGCTGAGGGAGTGACTAAGAGCTATTTCTGGTTAGGCCCCAGGGTGGATGTGAGTGAAGAGGGAGCACTGGGGGCAGTTTTTCTGCCCCTGCCCTCTACGCTAAACCCCAAGTGAGTTGTAGCATTTTGCTACAATAGTACAACTTAAATAGTTTGTAGGCCTTAAAGTTCCCATCTGAGCCAAGGTACATTGATACAATGATTTAGTATTTGTCATCATCCTGAATAGTAGAGAATCATGTTTATTACTGATTTAGTGTCTCCAGGGTGGGTACAGTGTCTCCCTGGATTTGGGCTTGAATCCTGACTCAGCTACCGAGTGGTTATCTGATTGGCACATTACTTCTCTGACAGCCAATTTTCTCTTCTGTAAAGTGGAGATTGTAGTTCCTACCTTATAAGATTAATGTGAAGATTCAGTAAGTTAATTTGTATAAGGTGCTTACAACAGTAACTGGCATATAGTAAAGCATTCAATAACTGTTAGTTTTTAAACTCAGATTCTGACCGTCCTTCCTGTTTTTATTCTGGTTTGAGCTGCCCTTCTCCCACATAACTAGAGTAGCATCCCAGGTAGTTTTCCTGCTTTTACCATTGTCTCCTGTATCATTTACTTTCAACTCTCAGCCCAAAGTCATATTGGTTCTCTTTAAACCAAAGTCAGACTAGGTCACTGTGCTCACACCCTTTAGTGGCTTCCCATCTCACTCTTACATCCTTATTCCCTATCAGGGATTCCTCCCCATTCCCCACCTTTCTCAGCTCCCTAAGCCCCTAAGCCCCTACTCCTGTACTTCTCTGATTCCTTTTTTGTTCTTATCCTGTTCACTGTACTCCAGTCAACACTGGCAAATGTCTTAGGTTGTTTGTATTTGTTATCACTTTCCTAGGATTGTCTTCTCATATATTTGCATGGAATACTCATTAATCTGCTTTAATTCTTCATTTTTTGTTTTTGTTTTTGGAAGGTTTTTGCTATAGGGCGCATGCACCTACCATACAGACAGACAGACAGAAAGCAAGAAATCACCCCCCAGGGGGGATGGCTACACCGCAATCCCTTCTCCATTCTCCTCTCGGGATCTTGGGCACACACGCACATATGCCTGACGTGAGTTTAAGCCACCAGGTCCGAGACTCGCAGTCGATTACATGGGAGTCCAGCGACATAGCCATTACGCCAACTGCTGGTCCCAATCTGCTTCAATTCTTGATTGAAATGACCTACTCAGTGAACCTACATTGGTCTTTATATTTAAAATTGTTCCTCTCACCACAGTCCTTATTCCTTTTCCCTGCTTTTCTATTCCATATCATGTATCATCTGGCATATTTTTCTTTATTTCTATCTTTTCCTTTCTTTTCCTCTCTTGCCTTTTTATATCTTTTTTCTTCACATACATTTGCCAGAAAGAGAGAGTGAGCCTGAGCACCTCCCTTAGTGGGATGTGGTCACGTCATCCTCTTTTTCCTCCATTCTTTCCTGTCAGTATTTTGGGCACATGTGCATAAGCTCAACATGTTTTCTAAGCCATTGGGTCCAGACTCAAACCATAGTTGGCCATGTGGGATCCAGTTCCCTTAACTAAAACTGTGCTATGGGGCTGGCTCCCATCTGACATCTTCTAATTATTTTAAGATTTTAATAATCTATTTCCTTATCATACAGCTCTTCATAGAACATAAATTTCACGGAGGCTGAGATTTGTGTCTGTTTTGTTTACTGTTTTCATTGTTTTGTTCTCAGTACTGAGAAACAGAACCTGGCTTATATAGGCACTGAGTAAATATTTATTGGATTAGTAATACATATGTGTGCATGATTCCTGCCTTTTGAAAACCACAAGATGAAGTGGCTACTGCTGCAAAGAAATGTTCTATTCTGATCAAAATGAAGAAATGGAAGTAAATTACCGTGCTCATGTTTTCCCAATATTTTCCTTTGTTAGAGATGTACAGTCTTACTACGTCTTTGTGAGTTCATGGATGATGAAAATGGAATCTATTTTATCTAAAGAACAAAGAATGGATAAATTTGCCGAAGACCTCACCAATAGATGTAATGTTTTTATACAGGTAGTTGCATCTTCTTGCTTGTAATACTTTGGGATCACTTCATTACTAATTTATACAGAGTTTTATGTTCACTTCAAAGCATGACATTTTAGCTGTGTCTTATAAGTTGTGTTATGTGTCGTATTTTTATTTTTACTTAGCCTAAAATATTCAAAAAAAATTTTGTGATGCTTTCTTAGATCTGTGGGGTTTTCTTTGGAAGATATCCCCCCCCCCCTTTTCTATTTTTATTTACTTGCCAGAGGAAGCAAGCCAGTGGGGTATGGTGATGTCACAGTCCTGTCTCCTCTATTTCTCTATTCTGTTAGGATTTTGTACATGCACACACATGTCCAACATGTTTTTCAAATTGCCAGAATAAGGATTTGAACCAGTGTCACCCATATGAGATCAGGATTCTTTATCCACTGGGCTATAGGGCTGGTCCTGGAAGATAATTCTTAATTTCCAAATATATGAGGACTTCCTAGTTATCCTTTAATTATTGATTTGTAGCAGTAATAAAATAATTTCAGTGTTTGGAAATTTGTTTTATGTCCCAGCCTGTTGTCAACTTTGGTAAACATTTTTTTGTATACATGAAAAGAATGTATAATTTGCTTTTGTCAGTCATACCATTCTGTATATGTCAAGAAGTCATCTTTGTTAATGATTTTGTTTGTGTATTCTCTCAGTACTGAGAGAGTTGAGTTGGAATTTCCCACTGTTATTGTAGATTTGTGTATTTATCTTTTTAGTTCTGGCGATTTTTGTTTTATATCTTTTATTTATTTATTTATTTTTAGAGGTTTTTTTTTTTGCTATAGTGTGCGTGCACTCGCCAGACAGAGACAGAGAGATAGAAAGCGAGAAATCACCCCTCCAGGGGGGATGGCCATGCCACAATCCCTTCTCCTCCATTCTCCTCTCAGGATCTTGGGCATGCACGCACACGCGCCCGGTGTGAGTTTTAAGCCACCGGATCCAGGATGTGAACCGTGGTCGACTACATGGGAGTCCAGCGACATAGTCATTACGCTAACTGCTGGTCCCATGTTTTATATCTTTTAAGACTTAGATACAGCATTTGGAATTGTTCTTTCCTCCTCTTAGTGAATTAAACCTCTTATTGTTAAAAATGTCCATTTTTTGATCTAAAAATGCTTTTTGTCATGTCTGTTTTTTTGACATTAGCATAGCTATAACCAGTTTTCTTTTTGCTAGTGTCTGCGTGAACATTTTCTCGTAGCCTTTCTGACTCCTTTTATGTATTGTGTATCTCTCTACCAAGCAGCGTGTGTTTTCCCCTAACGTGATTATCTTTGTTGTTTTCATTGCACTCTTTTCGTTTATGTCATTACTGGTAAATTTGGTTTAAAATTGCCACCTGACCACTGTCTTCTACTTGTCTTACTTGTTATGTGTTACTTTTCTTTTCCTTCCTTGGTCTCTTTTGGATTATTTTTATCATTTTATTTCCCCTTCTCTGTTAGTTTGTTAATTCATTATTGTTTCACTGTTCTTTCTAGTGGTTACTCTAGAAATTTAAAAATGCATCAACTACTTATTCAACTATAGTATAAATTCATAGTTGTACTACTTTGTAGACAGCATAAGTATATATCCCCCTCATCTTTTGTGCTATTGTGTACTTTGATTTTTGTCTATATTTTAAGCTTCACAAGGCATTATTATTACTTTTGGTGTCTTTGTAATCAATCATTTACACCTATGCTGTAATCAATCATTTACACCTATGCACGTGTTTACCTATCTTTTTTTTTTTTTTTTGAGAGGTTTTTTTGCTATAGGGCACATGTGCTCACCAGACAGACAGAGAAAGACAGAGAAACAGAAAGTGAGAAATCACCCCCCAGGGGGGATGGCCACACTGCAATCCCTTCTCCTCCATTCTCCTCTCTGGATCTTGTCACGCACGCACACGCGCCCAGCATGAGATTTAAGCCACCGGGTCCGGTACTCAAACCGCAGTCGACTACGTGGGAGTCCAGCGACATAGCCATTATGCTAACTGCTAGTTCCTGTGTTTACCTAACTTGTTGCTTTTCATCCTGTCATACAACTCTGAACTTTCATCTCTACTTGTGGAATTCCTGCTAATATTTGACTGAATATCAGTTTCTGTGGATGATCACAGTTTTTGGTCTGTGTCTCCATTTCACAGTTGTGCTGTGTTAGATTTCTAGGTTGGCAGAGTTTTTCCTTTATCTTTTCTTTTTTTAATAAATTTGTCAGGAGGTGAATGCACTTACTAGGGGGAGAAAAGGAGGGAGAAAGAGAGAGACAGAACAGCCCCACGGGGAATGGTCACACCACAATTGCTTTTTTTCCATCTCTCCCTCCTTTGCAGACTTTGGGCACACATGAACACGTGCCTGTCTGGTGTATTTTTCAGGTCACCAGGTCTGGGTCTTGAACCGCACAGTTGGCCATGTGGGATGCAGCTACCTTAACCACCATGCCACCAGCTAGCCCTCCTCTATCTTTTAAAGGTGTCCTTTTATTGTCTTCTAGCTTCCTTCATTTGGTTAAGAAGTAAGCTGTCAGTTTTATTGACTTTTAAATAAGTCTTTCTTTAATTGCATATGATATTTACTTTCTGCTTTTTAGCAACTTTACTGTGATGCTTTTAAATGTGGTTTTGTGTTTGTGCTGCTTGGAATTTGTAGGGCTGCTTGGATTTTGGAAACTTCTTAGCCATGAACTCTTCAAGCTTCTTTCCTATTCTCTTTTTCTGTTCTACTTCTCTTTACATCTGTCTAATCTGCTGTCAAACCCATATCTGACAAGTTGTTAATTTTTATTATTTTATGTTTTAGTTGGTTTACAGTTTTCAGTTCTCTTCCTAAATACTTTTGTGTTTATTTTCTTCCCCATACTCAGCACAAGTATTTTGAAGCCCATGAATAATAATTTCACGATCTGGGTATTTTTGTCATCTGTTGTTTCTTGTTTCGGGGCTTGTCTTACACGTTGAATCCCTGGTTATTCTTTATAGTATGTCTCATACTGTATATTAAAAAAAAGTAGACATAATGTGAGGATCTGGATACTGTTTGCTTCCTGCAGAAAGGATTGATATATGCTTTTGATACACAGCTAGTCAAGGACAACTAGCAGCCCAGATCACATAAACCCAGTCGTGGATTCAGATGATTTGAAGTAAGACTTCAGTCCTGTGATGGCTAGTGTTCCAATTCATGCTTGCTTTTTGGGGGGATAGCCCTTCAGGATCCCAACCCACAACTGCCCTGCTTGAGGGGCCATGCACTCCTGTTTTTTGTTCCCCTTCTCATGTAGTGTTGTTGGAAGATAAATTTAGCTTCTGTCTTTTAACAGAAGTCACAAAGACAGATATTCTAAGGGAAAGCCATACTCACTTCTCTGGGTTTTAGTCTTCTCTCACATCTTGGCCTCATAATTCCTTATTTTCTTGGTTTTGGAACTTTTTGTTGCCTTCCAAGAGATTTTAAAACCATTTTCCCCAGATTTCCTAGTTTTTTTTTCAGCAGAAATGTTGGTTCAGTTTATTCCATCATTAACAGAAGCAGACTCCAGACTCATCTCCAACCCACTGTGGAGTTTTATCCATCGTGTATATCATTCTTTCTCGAATAAGGATCATCTGGGAAGGGGGCGATACTGATGGGAGAGGTCTCTCCTGTGTGCTGGGGCAGGAGAAAAAGATGGAGTTACCCTGGCATAGAGCTTCTGCCCACCTTCTTGGCCATATCCACAGATGCACAGTTGAGGTTCATCTCTAACTGTACTTGAATTCTGGGGGAATTTACATAAGCCCAAAGAATCTCTGTCATTATCTTGTATTTCTGTGTGGCCATTTTGGTCTACTTGAAAAAATATTTAAGAGCTCATGTCCCCTTCTTTTTGTTTTCTTATTCCATCTGTTTCCCTGAGTTTATTTTTTTAAACCTCACAAAGCCTGCTTCCTTTATATGTAGAAGTTGAAAATCCCTTCTCATGAGCTGGACAGAGACTTGGCAAGATGGAAACTGGAGAGAGGGAAGCCCGATCAGCACTGAAGTATACAGGGAGAAGATAGCAGACAGACTCTGGGGCTTGGACTTAGATGGAGAGAAAGGGCATTCGGTGTGGAACTCAGAAATTCCTTTGCATAACTGCGTTGGCCAGAGAACTCCCTTTCTTTCTCACTTTCACTTCCTAGCTCCTTAGAGTTCTCAGCTTTTGCCTTAAGTGGCAGGATGAATAGACACCTTCCTGACATCTAAATTGTTTCTTAGTTTGTTTGTTTGTTTGTTTTTTTAATGGAAAGGTTCTTTGTAACAGAGAAAATAAAGTTTTCGCAACTTTAACCACCATGCGGAACATTGCTTTGAAACTTACCACTATGTGTAACCTCGTGAGGAAGAATCTTTCAACACAGTAAAAGCTAGCTTTAAGATGAACTTCAGAAACATCAGTTAATGGCAAACTGAGGAATAACAATAATTATATAGAGAATGAAATCTTGAAGAATTGAAGTCTTTCCTTGTGATAATAATCATTGTTTTACTTTTGTTTCCAGGGTTTCTTATATGCGTATAGTATTAGTACCATTATTAAAACAACAATGAATCTCTACATGTCCATGCAGAAACCAATGACCAAAACCTCAGTTAAGGCATTATGCAGGCTTGTTGAACTTCTCAAGGTAGGTTTTAGATTATTTTACTTTGCTATCCTAATTGAGAAATGAACCAGGCTTACATTAAGCTGTGATCTCATGATTATCTGAGAACAAAAAATTTTGATAAAGTGTACTTATTTCTCAGTTAAATAAAGGAACTAGACTTTGAAAGCAATTTCTGAATAATTATGAATGCCAATTTAGTAAAACTTGATTAAAAGTAAATGTAGTGGGGCCGGCAGGTGGTGTGGTAGTTAAGGGTACTGGACTCCCACATAGCTGACTGTGGTTCAAGTCCTGGACCTGGTGGCCTGCTTTCTTACTCTCCCTTTCTCTTACTCTTTCCTCTTTGGTCAAATTAAAATAAGTACTTTATTTAAGTATCTCTGTAACCTCTTTCCTTTCCCCTACCCTCCCCCCACCCTGTGTACTCACTGTCTCATTAAGTTAATATAGGGAAAGAGAAAAGAAGAAAAATAGAAAAGAAATAGCTTGAGTATTTTTAAAGTTTTACTTGTGGGTTTTAAAAGCATGTCGCATGAATTTTAAAAAATACTCATGCAACATGATACTTATATCCATTATCATTAGCATATTCTGTATTAGAACAAAACTACTCCTTTTGGGTAGAAGAGCCCAGTAAAACAAGCTTTTAGAAAACTTTTTGTTCAAGTTGAAATTAAGGCCCAGCCATGGTAGTGTGTACTGCTAAGACTGCTCTGCAGACTGCCCAGGTCTCATCCTCAGTCCATCCTGAGGGCTGGATGTAGTGGCATGTGCCTGTAGGCCCACCAGGGAAACTGAGGCAGGAAGATTGTTATAGTATGACCTTATTAAAAAACAAAACAAACAAACAAAACTAGAAATTAAGATTCACTGGTAAATTTCTGCTAGTAATAGACCTTAGATTTGCTCTGGAAATGAAGTTCTTTTTGGAAATTGTGCGTTTCAATCTTTTTTTTCCTTCAGGATATATTATTTATCAGTTACATTTTAAAAAATTAAATATACATACAGAAGTGTATATTTCTGTTTGTATAGATACATATATTTTAGAAATGTATATATTACTTACATAACATATTGCTATGTTATAAAGTATATAATTATGTTACTCCATTATTACCAGCACTTTCAGAGTCCCCGCATGCTCCTCCTTGATTGTTTCTCCAACTGTCCCTCAGAAAGGAAACCACTAATGAATTTTGTTTGTCATTTCCTAGTTTTTCTTTTTAGCTTACTGCATATGGATGAACCTGTAAACCATTCATTGTTATATATGAGTTTGTGAAAGATATTAATGGGATAATATTATATGTGTTCTTTGACTTATAGTTTTTACTCAGCATTTTGTATTTGAACTTAATCCATGTTGCAGTGAATAGCTGTGGTATATTCAGTTTTGTTGTAGTGTAGCTTCCTGTGTGAATGGACTTGTGAGCTGTTTGCAGTTATTGCTATTAGAAACAGTGCTGCCGTTTTTGGAATAATGTGCAGGAGTCTTTCTAAGGCATTATGTACTTATGATTGTGTTGCTGGGTTTTATGTTCTCTATAAGTTCTCCTTTTTATTTATTTATTTAAAAAATAGTTTTAAACATTCAGCTTTATTTATTTTTTAATTTGAGTGGAGAGGGATAGAGAGAGAAAAAGTGAGAAAGCAAACTGCCAGGTCTGGGATTCGAACTGCGATTGACCATGTGGGAATCCAGCACCCTTAACCACCTTGCCACCTGCCAGCCCCTATGTTCAGCTTTTTAAGATGATGCCAAATTGTTTCCCAAAATAGTTATATCAGTTTGTCTGTCTCCCACAATGTGCTAAGCTTCTCATTGTTCTCTGGCTGGCCAGCACTGGTCTTATCAGGCTTCAGTTGTTTATTGTTTATAAATTAGTGCATTTAATTAGTTCTGATTATGGTTTTTTTATAAAGAATTATTTGTTTTATTTATTATTACTTTTTAACTTGCTACAGTCATCAGAGAGAAACAGAGAGAGAGGAGGAAAGTGAGAAAGCAAACCGCCAGGTTCGGGACTTGAAACATGGTTGGTCATTGCCCTATCCACCATGCCACTTGCTGGTCCCTGATTATGACTTTTCATGTTCAATTCCTAATTGTTCATGGTAGTGAATATTTTTAAATTATTTATTGTTTATTCTTTTGTGAAAAATCTGTTTATGTCTTCTCTTCAGTTTTCTGTTGGATTATGTACCTTCCCTAAAGAAAATGTTCATTTATTTGGGGTCATATATCCTGAACACTAATCTCTGCATTGTGACATACCTTTTTACACATTTACCTACCTTTTTATTGATAGTGGCTTTTGATGAATAGAAGTTCTTTATATTAATATAGTTGAATTTACTAGTCTTACCTCTGTGGTAATGCTTCTTACGTTCTATTTATACATTCCTTCTCTAGCCCAGGGTAATAAAGATAATTCTCCTATAGTTAATTTTGTCTAATAGATGTACGTTAATTTTTAAAAATTACCTCTTCTTTTTTTTAGGCAATAGAGCATATGTTCTATAGGAGAAGCATGGTTGTGGCTGATTCAGTTTCACATATAACACAGCACCTTCAGCATCAGGCTCTTAATTCTATTTCTGTGGCCAAGGTATGCAAATTATTGTCACTCAGCATAATGATAATGTAATCTTTTTTATTCACTGTCTGTTGTTTTCTAGTTTATCTTATTTACTCTGTTCCTTCAAACATAATATTCTTGATTATTTACCTCCATGGCATTTTATGATTTTTACCTAGATAGATAGATATAGATAAAGATAACCTATAAGGGTTATCTTTACTTATAATTGCAACACATAAAACATGAATGTATCTCTAGTAAAAAATGACATGAGGGCTGGCCCTGTACTGCAGCGTTTTAGTGCATTGCAGATGGAGCCAGATCCCACATGGCTCATGGGCTCAGTCCCAGCCTTGTGGCTTACGGGGTCTAGATTGGAGGAGGAAGGATTGTGGTGTGACCACACCCCATTGGGGGTACTTTGTTTTTTTCTTTCTCTCTCTCTCTCTCGTGAGTGTACGCACCCTCTGGCAGTAAATTTTTTTTTTTTTTTTGAGAGATTTTCACTGTAGGGCGCGTGCGCTCGCCAGACAGAGAGAGACATAGAGACAGAAAGTGAGAAGTCACCCCCCCAGGGGGGATGGTCACGCCGCAATCCCTTCTCTTCCATTTTCCTCTCGGGATCTTGGGCACGCACGCACACGTGCCTGGCGTGAGTTTTAAGCCACCGGTTCCGGGACACGAACCGCGGTCGACTACGTGGGAGTCCAGCGACATAGCCATTACGCTAACTGCTGGTTCCCCCCTCTGGCAGTAATTTTTAAAAAGACAAGCACTTTTGAAGTTGATGCATAATTTATTACTATTTGAAATGATTTCTAATTAATAAGGAAATTTTAAAGGATGCCTAATACATTTACTGTTCCCAAGAGTGCTAAGAGATATTATAGAACTAAAGTATAAAACATTATGAGAAGTTCACAGGGAAAGTATTTTTCTCTTCTGTCTTCAGTGGAATCATGGAAAAGCTAATCAAGAAGTTATTCTTCTGAATCTTTTGTTATTGCCTCAGAAACAAAATTAATACTTACTTGCTTTCTCTTCCTTTATATTTAAGAAAAGGGTCATTTCTGACAAAAAATACAGCGAACAGCGTCTTGATGTGCTCTCTGCTTTAGTTCTGGCTGAAAACACCCTAAATGGACCAAGCACAAAACAACGGCGACTTATTGTGTCTTTGGCGCTAAGTGTTGGCACACAAATGGTAAATGTATTGCTATTAATTATAGACTAAAAATGAGGTGTGAAGTTTTATGGTTCCCTTATTATCGATCCAAGAAACCTGTCTTTACTTTGACTGCATCCTCTCTGCCTTTTCCCGCTTTCCTTACAGAAAACATTTAAAGATGAAGAACTCTTTCCACTTCAAGTAGTCATGAAAAAACTGGATCTTATCAGTGAACTTAGAGAACGGTAAGTAGGACTGGGATATGTAATGATACTTCAGAAATAACTGGTAGAAACATTGCTTGTTTGGGCCAGCCCGTGGTGTAGTTGCTAAGGTGGCTGGTTCCCACATGACTGACTGCTGTTCAAATCCCGGGCCTGGTGACTTAAAAAACACTCCACACCTGTGTGCATGGGTGCCCAAAATCCCAACAGGAAGGAGAAATGGAGGCGATGGGATTGCAGCTTGGACATTCTGCATGGTTTCTCTCTTTCTTTCTAAAATCTCTCTTTCCCGTGCGAGCACATGTGTAAAAATGAAAGCAAAAAAGGAAAAGATTGATTGTTCTTTCTAACATATAGCAAGAGAAGTAAAATTAGCATTAGTTTCTCAGTGTAACTTCTTTAGCAAGACCAAAATGAAACTACAACTATGGATCCTAGTTATGTAGCTTTGCATCTATAGGAAGCATGTATCAATAGCTCATAATGAGAGAAAGCAGTGCAGTCTCCAAATGTTTGGCAAACTCTGATGTGTATGGTGACACGTTGGGTATCTCTACTGGACTTCTAGAATTGCTGCTTTATAACAAGGCTTCATCTGGGGACCAGCAGATGGCATAATGGTTATTACGTTGGACTCCCACATAGTTGACCGTGGTTCGAGTCTCAGACCTGGCGGGGTATGTGTGTGCATGCCTAGATTCCAAGAGGAGAATGGAGGAGAACAGATCGTGGCGTGGCCGTCCCGCTTGCGGGTGATTTCTTGTTTCCTCTCTTTCTTTCTGGCAAACGCACAGGCCCTATGGCAAAAACCTCTCTTAAGAAAAAAAAAAGCTTCATCTGTTTGTGATTTCAGTTTGAGCTATGAATTATTGTCATTAGCCAGTCATCAAGGTGCATTTATTTATTTATTTATGTATATATGCATGTATGTATGTATGTATGTATGAATGAATGAATGAATGAGAGGTTTTTTGCTATAGGGCATGTGCGCTCACCAGAAAGACAGAGACAGAAACAGAAGGCGAGAAATCACCCCCCAGAGGGTATGGCCACACCACAGTCCCTTTTTCTCTCAGGATCTTGGGCACACACGCACATGCACCTGAATTTAAGCCAGTTTGTCCGGGTCTTGAACTGTGGTCGACTACATGGGAGTTTAGTGACATAGCCATTATGCCAACTGCTGATCCCAGAGGTAGAAATTTTCGATAGGGTCTCTTCATGTAGCAGTCCTCCCATCCCAGCCTCCCAGGTAGCTGGGATTATAGGCGTGCTCTGTTGTGCCTGACCTGTTTAGCTGGGTCTAGAAACTGAATCTAGGTGTCTCATGTGGCTCCATCTTATACAGTGGCATCCAGCTGCTTGTGCCTTCATTGCCTGGGCTGACATTTTCATAGCTTGTGGCATTTAATTCTCTATCATTTCAAGAAATACTTAATCACTTTCTTTTTTTTCTTTCTTTCTTTTAAATTATGTCAGAGTTGCATGTTCTCATTGGACAGAGACAGAGATAGAGAGGGAAAGTGAGAATGCACCTCCCCCATGGGATATGGTCACACTGCAATCCCGTCTCCATTTCTCCTTGCTTTCAGGATTTTGGGCAAATATACTCGCATGCGGCAAGTTTCTTGAGACGTTGGATCTGAGACTTGAACCATATGGCTGACCATGTGGGATCTAGCCACCTTAACCACTGAACCACAGGCTGGCCCTGAACCTTTTTTATTGTTAAGATATTTGATGATCATTTTGTTGTTTCATACCTATGATGCAAAGTAGTCACTTGGCAAAAATTATAGACAGGTTAAGTGTTTTCGTGTTTTGTTTATTTATTTGTTTTTTCAGTCAGTTCTTTAAGAAGGTTTGCTTTCCAATTTGGAGATGGGTAGAATAGTGTATGGGATGCAAGTATTGTAAGTCGAGTCAGACTTACAGACAGACAGAAAGCGAGATATCACCGCCCAGGGGTATGGCCACGCTGCAGTCCCTTCTCTGTTCTCCTCTCGGGATGCAAGTATTGTAAGTCGAGTCATATTAAATAACACAGAATGTAGGGAGTGGCCAGACCTCAGCTAGGCACTGAGCGACCTTTAAAGTAGAGATGATCTTTGTGTTTATGCTGCAGGGCAAGCGAAAGCTCTAACAAAGATATACTGCTGTTACACTGCAGGGCAGTGCAAATTAAGGGAAGCTGAGTCAGCCAGAAAAGGGGAAAACTGTTTTAGAACTATGGGATGCAAGAACCACGGGATGCAAGATGCTCCACAGCCGCAACCGGTTTCTCCACCCCCAGTATTGCATAAAAGAATAAACCTGGGAATGGCTGGGGCCTCAGTGTTCTCCACGAGAGACGCCCGGTCCGCCCGATCCCCACTTTCTCTGCTTGTGTGTCTGTGTCTTGGTCTTTTCTCAGTCCATTCGCCAACTTCCACTCGGGGATCCACGTCCCTTCGCTCTGCAGGCCAGGGCAATGAAAAATTTTATTTTAAATTCCTCTATTTATAAAGTTATCTTTAATTCTTTTTATGTCTGCTTTAAAATTAAATTGTATGTGCAGAATTCTGATAATGTTGGGGATTGGAGTGTTTCGTTACCTTTGCTCAGCTTGAAAAAATGTTTTGTTTTGTTTTGTTTTTCCTGTGCTTATATAGTGAGTGCAAAATGAGTCTCTCTCTTTTATAGTATATAAAGTCATTGTTTTCATTTGGTTTTTTGATACTTCAGTTTTGGTACCACTAATGACTGTTTTATATTGTAGAGTCCAAACACAGTGTGACTGTTGTTTTTTATACTGGCACCGAGCTGTCTTTCCAATTTATTTGGATGATGTGTATGAAAATGCTGTTGATGCAGCCAGGTTACATGTAAGTATGGAATAAGAGAAAGACCAAACTCATCTTTTTATAGTCATGGTATACACCATTGTAGTCTTTTTTTTGTTGTTGTTAATTAATTTTATATTACGTTTAATCACATGTATCTTTTTTTTTTTTTTTCCCCGAGAGGTTTTTGTTATAGGGCATGTGTGCTCACCAGAAAGACAGAGACAGACAGACAGACAGAAAGCAAGATATCACCGCCCAGGGGGATGACCACGCTGCAGTCCCTTCTCTGTTCTCCTCTCAGGATCTTGGGCACACACGCACATGCACCTGGCATGAGTTTAAGCTGCAGGGTCTGGGATTCGAACCGCGGTTGATTACATGGGAGTCCAGTGGCATAGCCATTACGCCAACTGCTGGTCCCCCACATTTATCTTTATAGTGTATATAGCATTTCTTTTTCCAGCATGAATATCATGCATCTCAGTCAAGACAAAGACATTACTGTACACATCATCAGCAGCAAAAAGCTTTTCATTTTGTCAATTAAAAATACTTTTTTTGTCTTTTTCTTTCCCTGATCTCCTCCCTCCATTACCCACCCCCATATTACTCCATCCTTACTGTCTCTAGTATCTACTGTTGCCCTCCCTGCTACTGTACCTTCCAAACTTTGCATTTCTGTCATAGAGCTCAGATAATCAGTGTATATTGAGTGGGGACATGCAAAGTCTTTCATAGTCTCACTTGCTTCACTTAGCATTAAGTCTTCCATATTGGTCCACTTTGTATCGCATGTCAGGGTTTTTCATTATTTTTTATGACTGAGTAGTATTCCACGGAGTACATACACCATATTTTTCAATCCAATCTACTTGGACATTTGGGTTCACCATTCTAGTTTTAAAATAGGCCATTTGATTTAATAAACCACTTTAAAATTGAACTGGCAATGGATAGTATTGTACATGTCCAGTAAGTGTCTATACAGTTTGTAGTTAAATTTGATATTAGTACTAGTGAAATTAATTTGAATATATTTTACTCCCACTCTCAGAGTTTAGATCATTCTCATTTCATGTGATTTTATAGGGCTGTCAGAAAAGTCAAGATGCATTTTTGCATAGAATAACATGGAAAAATAAATGACTTTTCTAATGACCCAATAGTTTGTTACAATAATATGACATTTACTCATCAACAAAGTTATTCAAATCCTTTTTTTAATGGAAATCAGTGTATCTGAATGCATAAGGTAGGAAAGGATAAGCGAATGTGAGATTTTTGTGTATTCAGTTAAAGAATATACTTGAAGATTCTCCTCTTAGGAAAGAGAGACAGTCATATGGAAAATTAATTGTTTTCTTCATATCAAGGTTTTGTCTTTCATGACAGGTAGTTAACCTTTGTAATGTTGTAGATTAGAGATCCGGTTTTTCTAAGTTTATGTACATTTTAATTTTCTTCTTAGTACATGTTCAGTGCTTTACGAGACTGTGTACCTGCAATGATGCATGCAAGGCATTTAGAGTCCCATGAGATACTCCTGGATTGCTATGACAAGGAAATTATGGAAATTTTAAATGAGGTAAATTTTATTTTACATTGGAAGGCTTGTGACATGTTTTTGGAATGCAGTGTTTGAAAAACTTGGATTGGAACAATCTTTCACTAAATTGAATGATTATACAGTAAATTGCTGTGTAGAACAGAGGAGCTAGTTTTATTTATAACGTCATTATTATGCTAAGTTTTTCTGTAATTTCTAATTTTTATTTAGAAATCAGATTAGAAATTTGAACACTTTAACATTATAGTAAATATAGTGTCTTTGAATTTAAATTTCTGTTTATTAGAAGAATATAAATGCAAAATGGGTTTGACTGTTAACTGCTACCATGGCATAGTTAATTATTAATATTTTATTGAATTTAATTTGGAGAGCTCTTAAAAGGAGCTCTCAAATTATGTATTTGAGACTAACAAAAATAGTTTGAATGCAATGTAGATGTTCCTTTTTTTTTTTTTTTTTTCTGGAGAGATTTTCACTGTAGGG